CCTTACTTCTGGTTATAAGCCCATGTTACGAGTCACGAAATATATTATAATAATTAATTTAACTATGCAAGCATAAATTAACTATACCCAAATATAGTAGCATATAGATCTGTTTCTATGGTTCTATGCTTGTATGATTCTATGATTCCTCTCTCCTCCGCAGAGGCTTTAATTGGCTATGAAGGCGCGAAGCCTCTGCGTGTGGCGATGCCACACCCAATATGGCGGTAAACGGGGGGGGGGTAACCTAACTTGTTTTGGCTCGAACAACATGGCCGCTGAAATTTTCAAAAAAATTATGCCAACAAAACTAGCTTCTTTTCGGCACGTACATAGAATACGCTTACTAAAATACTTAAAAAACGGAGCTAAAACCACCTGCATTGCATCGAGGGAATTAAATTCACCAAGCGGCGTTTCAAAATTGGAAAATTTGGCATCGGAAGCAGAAAAAGTTGTTGGTTATCAAACCAGTCTAGTTCGATGCCTTTTAAGTAGCCTGATAACAGACCTACGTTTCACCCGCCCTAAAATAAATATCGTATTGTTTATTACAACGGAAAGATACAACGCTGAAGAATTTGACACGTACCGCTCTATTCCCCTCTAGTTTTAAGGTCCCAGAGCCTTCAGTAAAAAATAAATTGAAACGTGGCGAAAGCTCTGTTAACGGGAGTGTTCTTTGATTAAACCGCGCCAATTACAAAACAGAATTAGTGGTTTTAGTGATAACAATCCTGCACCTCCACACCCTGCTGCATCTCCCTCAAAATGGGGTTCGATCGGCCCCTACGCGACTACTTTCAGTTTATAGAAAACTGTACGGATTATCTTCAACAATTATAGACGTTTACAAAAAGATATTTCAATCAAAGTGGGGTTAGGGTTTATTGGGAGTAAGTATATTAGAATTATATTTAAATTTAAGTTGTTTAATAGTAATGAACAAAATTTATACACAGTTACCATCTGACTTCGACCTGCGTAGGATTAGGATTATGTATAGGATTATTTTGCTGTATTTCATAGTTAATATACCGGATTTTGACAAACGAATATGATATCGACCTAAAATTAAGTTATATTCCTCAAGAACAGAAATTTATATTCTTAAATGAATCACTGCCCACTGGAAAAAAAGTGAAATCCATACTACGAAATTTGCAATTGCACCACAAAATCCATAGTATATCCATACTACTTCCATACTATATCCATACTATGGAAATATACAGTTATTATGGAAACCAAAATCCATTCTATTTCCAATAAAGGTCCATACAATTTCCATTCTATGACCTTCTATGGAGTGAATTTTTAACTAGCTGCAGAATATACATATTCTCATCTTCATCTTGGTATGGACTTTGTAGGAAATCATCAGAAAAACATAAAATTTCGCAGAAAAATGGAAAAGATTCACACCATTACAACAGACGTACAACGAGATTTGAAGGATCATATCAAGAAAGTAGGATGTTTAAAAATAACATTCGAACAGGGAACCTGTCAAGAAGCGACACTAAAAACACTAGACCTAGAAAACGACTTGATCAAAACCAGCGAAAAAACAGATCAGAGGAGAATCGATGACAAATTGATTTTTGCATAATTATACCATTCTGTGATGTAAAATATAGTAATATGCACATTTTTAAATTATTAAATATATTTGTATAGTCATTCAATTATAGTTAATATATAGTCTTACACGCGACAACGCGAGATTCACGCATAACACGCGTGTTGTCCCGCGTTCTCAGCAAGCGTGTCCAGGACTCCAGGTTGTGAAAAGGCGGGAAAATTGAAATTCCACTG